GATAAAATCACAACAACAATTAAGAATAAATTCCTCCCCCTCCCCCCTTTAAGAAATTATTTTTTTTCTTTCTTGCTTCAGCATCCATTTTATGGATAAGCTATAAGATTTTTTTTAAGTTTAAAAATGGTAAATACCCTAAAAGCACCAGATCTTGGAAGCTAAGCGGGGTCAGTCCTGGTTAGTGCTTGGATGAGAGACCACCAATGAATTCCAGGTGCTCTAGGCTATATTTCAGAGGAAGGAACAGGCAAAACCACCTCTGAGTATTCCTTGGCTAAGTAAACCCTATTAAATTCACGGGGCCACCATAAGTCAACAGGCAACTTAAAGGCACACAGAGACACACTGATTAGTGAGAATCATAAGAACATATCCTCCAACATTTCACAGATGAAAACCAGGATGCATGTGGCTGAGCAACATCAGAGTGTGGTTAAAAGGGTGTCACCAGGCAATGAGAGAACAAAAGTTCTTAATGAGGAAGCACCTACAAAACTACAGTTTTAAGCAATGAAGTCCTGGAATTGATGGAGTCAGTTGAGGAGAGCCTGAAAAAAGAAAGAAAAAGTTCACAGTGAGTTCATAGTGAAGAAATAGTTTGTACTAAACGAATCAGCAGAGAGGAGAGGATGGAGTCTTGCCCTTCTCAGTAAACTCAATGCAATTTCTAAATTCAATTCAATTTCTGAATTGAAATCAACTGAGGACAAAGGGGGGGGAGTGGGAGGAAGATAGAGGAGGGATCCAAAACGCACTGCAGATATAATTCATTTTGAGACTGCTTTAACTGCCCTGGCTCAGTGTTCAAGAAATCTGGAAATTGTAGTTTATTGTGGCACCAGAGCTCTCTGGCAGAGAAGGCTAAATGTCTCACCAAACTACTGTTCTCAGAATTCCTTAGCATTGAGCCAGGGCAGTGAAAGCAGTCTCAAACTGGATGATTTCTGCAGTGTGTTTTGGACCACACTGGAACATTTTTAAAGCAGCTGAGAAAGTGGGACAACAGAGTATTAATCATGACTATCCCTGTTAAATCAGGGACAGTGGAGGGTATGTAATAATACTTGCGGTACATCTGAAAATAATTGATTTTAAAATTTGACTGAGATACTTTAAAAACTTTTCTGGTAGCATTTGTTTTGATGTGCTTGGCACCTATCCTAATTATTCGTGCATTAAGAGATTACAACTACTCAATGAACAGGTTCATGGTGTTACGATGCATGTTACGATGAATTATGGAGTCTGATCTGTTGAGCATAGAGGGGTGTACTTCCAAATAAACATGTTTAGAATTGCAACTAGAGAGACAAACTACAGCAATGGCATTCTTGCAAGTGTGCTTGTTAGTTAGTTTGTATCCCACCTTTCCCCTGACGCAGAAGCCAAAAAGGACTTACAAAATAGATTAAAACAAAGTACACCTCTGCCTCTTTATTCATCTGTGGTGCTGAATTGTCTAAGAAATGATTAACTTATAAACAAAATCATAGATATATAACTAGTGAAATACAAATGGTTTTGTCACTATTACTGGAACCTAATGGAAGATACTGTACCAGGAATGATATAATTTAACCCATTAAATGAAATAAAGAAAGTGAATGTAAAGAGTCACTTAAGATTGAACAGGAAGCAACTTTATTTAAACTGAAGCACCAGTATTGTCATTAACTGGGGGCTGGATAGTCAGGTTTTCTGATAGTACTCTTATGTTAACATATTTGATTACTGCTTTAACAGCGGCCTCTAGTGCTCTCTATGTTCTGCTGCAATTTATGGAGCGCTTTTAAGGTTGCAAGGACAGATGTTCAGCTCATGGGCTTGGAGCTTTGCATTATTACAATTGTTCTGAAAACTGAATTTACTTCCTGGGGGAAGATGAGGTCTCTGTTTTCAGAATTATTAGAAAACAACTGTCACAAAGAAACTAAAATGTGGGTGAATCAACTTTACTTTTAAATGTTTGCGAGGCTTAACACTTCTGTCATAGCTGATCCAGCCTCTGTGCAAACTTGCAAGAATACCCTTGCTCTAGTTTAAAGTCTCTCTAGCTGCAATCCTGTACATGTTTATTTGGAAGTACGTTGCTCTATGCTCAACAGATCAGACTCCTTAATAAGTGTAAACAGGATGATATCCTTTGGGGTATATTTGAGCTTGCATTTTGATAATCAAAGCCCAGTTTCAGCCAAAATATTCAGGAATGATATTCTTTTCTAAAAATAAACATATTTAGTATGGAGGGGTCATAAACTCCTACAAACCAGAATTTAATTTTGAATAGAACAGAACTATAGCACCCTTAATTTCTTTGACAAGTGATAAATCCTCAAATTGCTTAGCTTTTTAAATTGTGATGTTTTTAACCATTTGTTTCTACAGTGTCCCCCCCCCCACATTCATTGGGGTTTGGGGTGAAGGACCCCCATTAATGAGGAAAAAACCTAAATAAAAAGCACTATTCTTTTTACCTAAGAGAACACCTCTCTAGGAACCTCCAGGTCCTCTAGTACAACTCTATACTCAACATCTGCCAAAACTTGATCATAGAATCATGGTGGAGGAACTACAAATGCCTAGAGAAGTGTTTTCTCTAGGAACTTCTAGGTTCTTCAACACATCTCTATGGTCAACGTATGGCAAAGCTGTGCTGGAGGACCTAGAGTTTCCTAGACAGAACATACTAATCAAAACTGCAAATAATTATATCTACAAAAGTCAAAGCCACAAATGTGGAGGGCCAACTGTAATTCCATTGAGCTATGTTGCTATGGTTTGAGTTCCTGAATGTATTAAACATACATTGATCAGCCACCCCCAGCTTAAAGAGTCAGACAATTCATTCTTAAAGGGGCAATAATTTTTCTCTCATCTGGTGGGAAGATTGCAGCTTTATTATACCAATATGTTAAGCTTCTGCGTTCTTTCCAAGTCCTGGTACCCAAGATTTTCCCCTGGGTACCTTGAGCCTACAAGATTTATTCTTTATTTTTGCTTTCCATTCCAGAGAGTTGGAACTAAAGACACAGTCTCAGCCCATAAAGCCCTCTGTGATTGTGAGACATTATCCCACACCCAGTTCTCCCAAGAGAGAGAAAATGTCCTCCTGCCACTTCCTGGGGAATCTTCCACTAATGTTGTATGGAGAGTTGTCCAATTCATTCTATGGAGGAAGCATCAGAAATCCTCTCAAAATCCTATATGTGCATTGTCATATTGAACATACTTTTGTACTACTTCTTTCATTTTTTGTGCAAATATTAATGTTATTAAAGAACAGATACTTTTATTTGAATGTATGTTTCATTCCATAGGTAGGTCAAGGTGGGCAACCACACTGGGAGCAGGGGATGTTCCCTGCAGCAACGCTCCCAGAAGGCCACTGCTCCAAACTGTAAACAGAAATGATGTGACTTCACTAACAGTTATATTTTGGGCTAGTTTGGAACTATCTTCTCCTTTTCCTTTCAGGGAGGCTGGAAGAGCAGAATGGGGGCATAGAACAAGCATGGTTTGCAGCACTTTGGAACATTGAGGGGTGAGAGTGGGGTGAAAATCACCCACATTAGTAAAATAGAGGCTCTAGGGCAGGGGTAGGCAACCTTTCCCCTTTAAGGGCCGAGGGACTTCAGCTCCCAGAATCCCAAGAGCTATTGGCCAATATGGGACTATTGGCCAACATGGCTGAGGCTTCTGGGAGCTGAAGTCCCTCGGCCCTTAAAGGGGAAAGGTTGCCTACCCCTGCTCTAGGGTTTTGAGGGAGGTCCTGGAGGGGGACTCCAGGGGCAGCAAAAAAGGAGCCAGAAGTTATGTTCTGTCCCACTCTAAAACTGGGGGTTGGTGTAGGCCTCTCTGAGATAGTATGCAGCAAAGAAGCATTCCAATCTGTTTGTTGATGGGGGTCTACCAATGGGAGAATTGGGCTCCAACTAATACCCAGATTATCACTCTTCTGTCAATCATATTCACCATCAACGGGCATCACTAAGGGCGTGCAGGAGGTGTGGACTGCACCGGGTGACATAGAATCATAGAATCATAGAATCATAGAGTTGGAAGAGACCACAAGGGCCATCCAGTCCAACCCCCTGCCATGCAGGAACTCCCAATCAAAGCATCCCTGACAGATGGCCATCCAGCCTCTGCTTAAAGACCTCCAAGGAAGGAGACTCCACTACTCTCCTGGGGAGTGTGTTCCACTGTCGAACCGCCCTTACTGTCAGGACGTTCCTCCTAATGTTGAGGTGGAATCTCTTTTCTTGCAGCTTGCATCCATTGTTTCGGGTCCTAGTCTCTGGAGCAGCAGAAAACAAGCTTGTTCCCTCCTCGATATGACACCCCTTCAAATATTTAAACACGGCTATCATATCACCTCTCAGCCTTCTCAGAAGGGGATGTACACCCAGTAGGGTAGTACACCCAGTGGGACTAGTACAGTTGCTGGGTGAATGAGAAAGGGTATCACTTACCTTTCTTCCTCGCCCAACAACTACACAAGATCCTGAGCAGGCCATCCAGAGGCCTTAGCATGACCACCCAGCAATGGTCTGGCTAGGCAGTGGTAGGCGGCTGGGGGGCAGGCAAGCAAGGCAGCAGGAGGAAGGGACACTAACCACAATAATGCTACTGCTCCCCATCACTGGTTATATGTGGGGACCTAGGTTGGGTGCACACAGACCCTGGCTGAAATCAATGGAAGACGGAATCCCAAGAAGCCAACAAGGAAAATCAAAGTGCACAAGCACAACACATCTCTCCCCACATATCTGTGAGAACTGTAGAACTGGTTTAGCAACAGAGGAAAATTCACTTTCCAAATCTGTTGCCAGCATTCATACCTTTTCCTGTTTTCCAAGTTGTTTCTGATTTATGGCAACCATAAGGTGAACATATGATAGGGGTTTCTTGGCAAGTTTCTTCAGAGGGGCTTTGCTATTGACATCCTCTGAGGCTGAAATAGTATGACTTGCCCAATGTCACCCAATGGGTTTACATGACTAAGCTGGGATTCAACCCCTGGTCTCCAGAGTCATACTCCAGTGTTCAAACCACTACACCACACTGGCTCTAGTTTCTTATTTAATCCTATGGAATTGTTGAAATTCTGTCCTGTGTACATAGATTTGACTTTTTAATGTTGCCCTAACCTGCTAGGTAATAATAATAATAATAATAATAATAATAATAATAATTTTTATTTATATTTCCCACTTTGATCAGGGAGGGAGATTACAACAATAAGATATAAAACAATATACAAAGTACAATCGATAAAATAACAACCTTATAATAATTCAGTAAAATAGCCAATCATCATCGACATCCAAAGAACCATACGATTGAATTAGGAGTAACAGTTATTCGACTTGAGAATCTACTAAAGGATATTTTGCATCACAGGCCAATGGGTTATAGTATGCAGATGTTTTTAGGGGGAGGAACACATACTAAACGACTGTTATAATTGTTCTTGAAAAAGACAGGTATAAAAAAACTATAACAAGAACTAGGACTTGGGGGTGATAATGGAACCAATTTTTTTTTCCTACTAAAGAAATATTTTTCAAGCCATGGCCATGAGCAAAACTGTTGTCAAGTCCCACTGTTTTAAACGCAACTAATCTCCCCCCCCCCAGGGTCCAAGCATTAAACTGATGTGTAAAATTTAAGAAGACTACCCAATTTCTAATGAAATTGTGTGGGGGGGTATCCCCCCGCTTATGCTTTGATAGATGATGATATAAATGTGGTGTCTTACAACAGCACTACATTCCCGGTTGTTACAAAACAAACCAAAACAGAATTGTCTCATTTCTCAGTGAAGTCTACCATTTAATCTCCTTCCTGTATCTCTTTATCTCTGAGCCCAGGCATTTATCTTTTTCACAGTAAGTTCCAGATTAAATGCTGGGATATAATTCACATCAATATGTGGCTGTGCATTATTAGTGACTGAGAAGCCTGCCCGTTACTGAAAATGAAAACAAAGGTGTTTTATAAAAACAAAGATGTTCTCTGAAAAGTAAGATTTTAATCCTCCAAGTGCAACAGTAAAACAAAAAGGAAGTGATTTGTCATATAACTAGACACTGGTAATGTAAAAAATGGCCCTTGACCTGTATAATTAGCACCAGATTTGGGAAATATTCTTTTTTTGGATGATAGTTCCCAGAATTCTATGGCATACTGTCCAACTGCCTCAGTTTGGCAAGGACAGTCCCAATTAATCTTCTGTTGTCCGACGTTTTCAGCCCTGACATCTTTATGGCATTCGAAGGGGTATCAATATTTTAATAAATAAAATGTTAAATATAGATTAACAAACTTAGGGCCTTTGCAGACTGCCAAATTGAGTCCACTTTAAGGGTTAGGGTTAGTGCTAGGGAATCATGGGAATTGTTGTTTTTTCTGAAACATTGAGCCTTCTCTGTCAGAGAGCTCTGGTGCCACAATAAAATACAGTTCCCATGATTCCCTAACCCTAACCCTAACCTTAAAAGTGGACTCAATTTGTACTATTTCTGGCAGTCTGCAACCCCACACAGTCTCTTGTTTCCAAAGCCCCTCTGTTTAATCCAGGAGTGAGCAAAATTGGCTCTCTAATGCTATTTCCGCCTTTTTATCTAGCTCCCCTTTCCTTGACTTCTGTCTAGCTGGATGTTTTCCAGAAGCAGCAGCACTGAGAGGAGAAGGCAGGTTGGACAAACACAAGAGATTATCACATCGGCTTTAAAATCGTTTTACCTGAGCTGGCTTAAAATTAGTAGTGGGTGGCATCCTGATACTATCACACACATTTAGTCGCCAAAATTGCTGCCCAGCTGCAGCCTGGCTCCATCGCTGCTCCAAGGGGCAATCTGCTGATCATTTTTTCAAGCCGGAAAACTCCTGGCTTCAAAAAGAGGTGCAAGGAGCTGCATCCAGGAGGCGATTTTGGCAGCTAAATGTATATGTAGTATTAGGATGCTGCCTGCTTCTAATTTTAAGTTGGCTCAGGTAAAATGCTTTTAAAGCTGATGTGATAATCTCCACAGACCAGGGGTAGGCAACCTTTCCCCTTTAAGGGCCGAGGGACTTCAGCTCCCAGAAGCCTCAGCCATGTTGGCCAATAGTCCCATGTTGGCCTATAGCCCCTGGGATTCTGGGAGCTGAAGTCCCTCGGCCCTTAAAGGGGAAAGGTTGCCTAACCCTGCCATAGACTTTGCAAATCAGGTTGCAGCAGTGTATTTGCTGGAAACAATGCTATAGAGCAGCGACAGGCAACCTTTTTCAGACCTGGACCGGTCTGCTGTCGCCCAGGTCTCGGCTGGGTCGAGGGGGGGGGAATGGCGGTGCGCGCGCTCACGCGCATGCACCCTCCTCCGGCGTGCGCGACCCCCCCGCGCATGTGGCCGCCACCATTGCGCGCACGGCTCCAGCCGCCACGGCGCATGTTGCAGCCGCCATTTTGGAAGTCAAAATGGCGGTCGCGATGCATTTGCACATGTGCAAGAGTATTGCGCAAATGCGCCGCAACTGCCATTTAGACTTCCAAAATGGCGATCGCCGCAAGCGCAGCCGAAAACAAGCTCCGACGGCGATGGCGACGGTGGCAACCTCTGGCCTGGGCCGGTAAGTCCAGGGCCCGGTGCCTTAACCGGCCCCCGGGCCGTAGGTTGCTGGTCCCTGCTATAGAGTTTGGGCTGAGAAACAGTGAGATTTTACTCTAGCAGATCCTACCGTAGTGTGTGCCCACCTAAACAGGCAAGGTAAATAGCAGCTGCTTCCAGAATCCCTTACTAAGCATGTATGAAGGGCAACCAAAGAGAAAAGGACAGAAAGCTCATAAACTTACCTCACCAGCTACTCCTAGCGTGTTAAAGAAGCACATAAGTTTGACCATCGAAATTGACATCGTACAAAAAGTAGAGGCTATTGAAATAAGAAGTCACCCCTGGATGCATTTTGAAAACAGATTTCAGGCAAGGTCATCAGAGGTCCTCCTTTTTGCAGACACAACCTACATTTCAACCTTCTGTCAAGTAGGAATTTCAAAATGTCCTCCATTTTGAGCATGACTAAGAAGCATTAATTTTACATTTTTATTAGTGTTTTTAGCTTTTCTTTTGTAATGTCCTACATTTTTTCTTAAATGTTCTACATTTTGGGGTTCCTTGTCCACCTTTGCGGTTAGGATCTCTGGTCACCCTGGTTTCAGGTGGCCTCTGAAAGGTTCAAAATGTTTTTGTTCACTTACGCAAGGCTTACCTGACGTTTCATTTTACATGTACATATCATTTCATATGTACATGTTTTGGATAAAAAAAGATGTTGAAACATGTTGAACTGCTCTTCATTTCTGTGGTGCTGGATCCTATCCCTGTTCTTCCCATGTTCTTTTTGCTTCTGGTATCAAATTTTCAGTTAAAGAAAGAACACATCTGCTTTGTTAACTAAGGTATACAGTGAGCTCTTGGTATCTACTGTGGTTTGGTTCCAGGACCTGGAGCGGATACCAAAATCTGTGGATGCTCAAGTCCCATTAAATAAAATGGCATAGTGAAATAGTGACCCTTATATAAATGGCAAAATCAAGGTTTGCTTTTTGGAGTTTATATCTTTTTGGAATATTTTCAAGCCATGGATGGTTGAATCTGTGGATTAAGAATACGTAGATATGGAGGGCCGACTGTACTTGTACTTGGGATCTGCCTACATGTTTTTATACAAAGAAGGCAGAACAGAATTTCACACAGCATTTGATTTTGCTTTAAATTTACCTATAATTTTTCACATGAAACCATACACAAACCCAGATTTGCAGCAAGCAAACTTTGCATGCTCATGCACACATAATTCCTTATCTTGTTATTACTAAATAAAAGAAAAGATGTCTTTAAATACTTACACTGCTGTTAGTACATGTGTCCCATTTCTTTATTCCTGCAATTAACTGTTTCATCTGTTTGTTTCTCTGCATTAAAGTCAATACAGTATAGAAGTTTCATCAGATTAAATTAGAATTCTATTGGACACAGTGTCCTTTTAATCCATATGAAAGTATTTGATATTAGTAATATAGTATCACATGGTGTAGTGGTTTGAATGTTGGACTATGACGGCAGAGATCAGGGTTTGAATCCCAGCTTGGTCATGTAAACCCACTGAGTGACCCTGGGCAAGTCACACTCTCTCAGCCTGAGAGGATGGCAATGGCAAACCTGCTCTGAAGAAATGTGCCAAGAAAACCCTGTGATAGATTTCCCTTAGGATCTCCAAACATTGGAAATTACTTAAAAACACTCAACAACAATATAGTATCATGGCATACCAATGTAGCATGTACATATTCTCATTTCAGTGGGTTGCTCCCACTCTCTGGAACTCCCTTCTGCAAGAGGCCAGGCTAGCTCTCTCTCACTGCTTTCCTTTCACCGACAAGCAAAGACATTTTTATTTAAGCAAGCTTTTAACAGTTGAACAGGGAAGGTTCTTCTTTAGAGGTATGCTTAACTTTTTGTATGCTTCTTAAATTATTTTACAGTGTTTAATGTGAGGTTTTTAAATTGTTTTTAAAACTTGGTTGCAAATTTTTAAAATTTGTGTCTCTGGAAGCTACCTTGGGTTCCCCCCCCCCAGGAGAAAGGTAGCATATAAATGAAGTAAATAAATAAGTAAGTAAATATCTTTCTCTGCTCTCTTTCAGATTGCACATTTATAGCAGTCTGATGCCACCTTAACTGCCATGGCTGCATACTATTGAATCCTGTTGTTTGGTGAGATACTAGAGCTCCCTGGCAGAGAATTTTAAATATCTCATAAAAGTACAAATTCCAAGTATGGAGCATAGGTATCACTATGGACTTGTGGGGAAGGATGCTGACCACACCAGGTGATATCTCAAGGGGGAGTCACCCCATGCACTGGTGTTCTGGGTCTGTTGTCTTTGCTGACTGAACAGGTAAGAAATACATCTGAGGAAGTAGACTGAAGTCTAGGAAAGCTCATGCTGCCAACTTTTTTTCAGTTAGTCTCAAAGGTGCTACAAGATCTCTCTACATATTGATTTTACTGACTAACGCAGCTA